TTGCTCTCATATTTCACTTATCAAAATTTAATTTCTTTCTTACAGAAAATTTTTGGCATCTGTTAAAGAATTTAAATAAATACCAGAAAATATTTCCGAAAATTCATTACAGGAAAACTGTATTTCAGATTTGGTGACAAAATTAATTTCTGCTTCTCTATCCATATTCTCATATTATTTTAGCCCAATTTCTAACTTTCCAAACATTCTAAACTCTATTCATTTCAATAAGTAGCACGGAAAAATTGAGCACAAAATAGCGTAATTAAAATTTCGGAACTTTCAATTTTTTTCACCTATAAAACATTCTTTAACAGAAAAAAGTGCAGTGTTTACAATTTTAAATGCAAATAATGGCATTCTAAACTAAATAAAGAATATTTCGTTACCAATACTGTAAATCTGGGTAGTTCCAATGCGCCAGCCTTGTACATTCAAAGTAGCATCGCTGAAAGGGGATAATTAATATTTTGGTAGTATAACTTTTTATTACTTCAGATTTATTTATTATCAATTTACTTACAAATATATGCACTCTTAAATTTTAAATTCAACTTATAAAATAGTTTCAGCATTAAGTTTACTTGTTTAATTCTTAAAACAATCCTATTTATGATACACACAGTATGAGCTTGCTTTGTCTTTCGATAGATGCTTTACAATAATAGCTTCAAAATGTGTCAGAATGTTTATGAAAAATCATAGGATATGTAATAGTTTAATTATCCAGAGTGTTTTCAAGCAAGTAAGTAAATGCAATGCTTACTTTGCATTGTTTGCACTGCCACGTAGTTCTCTTTCCTAATATGCTGCTTATAACAAACGCGGCAACCTTTATCCAGGATGTTGCTTGGACTTAGTTGACGGAATGTTCTCAGGAAAGTGTGCGCAATTTTTCGCTGCCAAACGAAATGGTTTTGTATTGCTACTTGACGGGCGTCCACGACGTTTATAATTTGGCAATGACAGTTGCTCCAGCAATTCTTCGGCAATAGCTAAACGAAAGGAAGTAATGCCTACCTTGGTTGTGCAGTTGATTTTAGAATATAAAATAGTATTATAAAAGAATAGTATTATAAAATGCCATATCTATTAGATAAAAAAACATTTTCTTATAACACCTTTATACATTTTCTCATAAATGGGAAGCACGCTAGCAATTGGTCTTTGTTTATCAACGCCTCCCATACCTTTATTATACTTCAAGCAGAGATGCCCGTTTTATACTATTTTCGCTATCGCCACCTTCATTTTTTTCTCCTTTTGCCTGTGTTTATAAAATCAGCATTTGAATGTTTCGTGCTAAGTATGTGAATCATCCGCTCCTAGGGAAAACAAGTGAATGAAGTCTCCCAGACATCAAATGTACCCAAGAGTTAAATTTTTGGTTTGACGTCTTAGACATGTCGGAAAAAAGTGCATGACGTGTCTCAGATGTCAAATGTACCCAAGGGGTTAACAGAGCTCTTATCCGCTCTATATTGGACTATGGCTCAGTTGTTTATGGTTGTACACGGCCTTCAATATTGTTAAAACTAGATACAGTTCATCATCAGGCACTGTGGATTTGTTCTGGAGCAATCAGGACATCTGCTGTCCCAGAACCTTTATATTGATTGCTATGAACTATCATTCCAGTGGAGTGTGAGCAAGGATCTCTTCCGCATTATTTTTAATATATTATCTCAAAGTGATCCCAGTAAGCTGAGTTTGCATCGACACATGTGACATTTTATTTGAAGCACAACCATCTTGTGTGCCGTCTTTTTCGTTAAGAGCTTGCTCTTTGATTGAAAAACATTCCAGTGCAATGTCACCCAAACAGTAAAGCATTTTTAAAATTCTGCCATGCTAGTTTGCACAAATCAAAATTCTTGATGTTTGTTACCATCACAACGAGAGAAACAATAGCAAGATCATATACAAACAGCTTTTCTCTGAGCATAGACATAAAGGTTGCAGCCATGTTCCCATACATGCAGATGAGTCAAAGACAGCTAGTCATGTTGGGACAGCATTTGTACTAGACCATATGGAAGGCAGACGCACTACTCATCCTCACTCTTGATGTCTGAACTGACTGCTTTATATTATGTGCTCATGTTCATTGAAAGCTTTAGAAACCTTTCTAACACTCGCAGTTCTGCAGTCTTCTAACAGTAAGTTGTTGCATGGATGTCAAGTTCTGTATTGCTGGCCATATTGGCATCAAAGGAAAGAAGCTCACAGAATCACAGCTAAATCTGCTATTGATCTGTGCAACCAGCATGCTCCTCTTATGGATATCCATAAGGTCATGAGAAATGTCATAAGGTCAAGAAAAATGTCCTAAATAAATGACAGCTAACTATGCAATTTTTAGGTCCATCGCAACCTTAAAATTCTGAAACCTGTTGTAGAATATTGAGAATCGGTTGGAAATCAAAGGGAAGAAGTAATATTAACTCATCTTCATATTGGTCACTCTGGAGTTACACACAGTTATCTCTTGAAAGCCGAGGGTGGACCTGTTCGTTCTCCCTGTGGTGTTCTGGCAGTATGTCATTTTGTAACTGAATGTCCGTATTCTGGTTACAGCCGAAAACAACCCAAGGCGAAAACGTCTTGCTACAAAACATTGTCAAAAATAAAGCGGTTCAAAAATTTCGCAGTTTGAAAACATCGGCGTCATTGCATGACAATAACATCACAGACATGCTTTTTTCAGGTTTTTAATAACTGTAAATGGATATTCCCATAGTGATTTGTGAGCGCAAGATGAAAAGAAGGATAATTTTTACTTTGGTATTTTTTATTAAGTAATAAATTTTTTGCAGAGAAAATAAGAAGGAAACTTAAGCATAGAAAGTTAATGTAACTTATAGCACTTAATAGAATTTTAAACCGGCATAGTTAACTAACAAAGGCCATTAATAAATCATTTTTTTAAAAGTTTTTACTGGTAATTTTTCATGAAAAGTATAATCTATAAGTTGCATTTAATTTTTTATGCTTAAATTTCCTTCTTACTTTTCAGCAAAAATTTATTAGTTAATAAAAAAATGTGAAAGCAAAAATTATCCTTCTTTACATCTTGCGCTCACAAATCATTATGGGAATTATCCATTTACAATTATTAAAACCTGAAAAAACATCTCTGCGATGTTATTGTCATGCGATGATTTGTAGGTACATTATTTTTTACCACGATATTTTCGACGACGATGTTTTAGAACCGCGATGTTGTCAGGCAGACACTTGTATTTTAACTTACTTTGACTAAAGTATTTTAATGACTCGTGACTTTCGTTTTGACCCTATAATTAGGAAAGAGGCTATTGCTAATTTATTTCAGTGCCTGAAGGAGAGTGGGTTTTGTTATCTAATTTAATTTTGATGATTAATATTCGTATTTCTGAGACATATATTTTAATGTATCTCTCCCCCCTTTTTTATAATTTTACACCTGCTTTGCATCTGATATTCTCCGAGTTATGAGTGCCTTCATGTTAACATTTATCATTTTATTACTTCTTTTGACTTTATAAGTCTGCTGTTGTTTTAAATTTGATTGTATGTAATTCTTGTCTGTATTTGATTGTGTTTAGTTAACATGTGTTTGAAGCTTATAATCTGTCCAGGTTATGCTCCATAAAATCCACTACCACCACCAATCACTATGATGCCATTGCAACTGGGTACATTTTTAATCCTGTGTTAATGGAACACATATCTTTATATATACAGCCTTCTTTAATTTGGTTTGTCATTCATGGTATATCTGGATAGTCAAGTTCCTGTAGCTGCAGTGAATTTTGTTGCAGTCATGCCTGACATCAAATGTAATGTTTCTTCTTGGTAATCATTGCCAAATAATGGTCCTGAGAGTATGATGTGGTATTTTTTCAACCATGATCTAGTTGTCTGCATATGTTATGTGTTTAAGTAATTTTCAGATCCTTGATGTGACACTTTTTTCTACTTTTAAATCTTTATGAAGACTTATGTCGATGTCTGCCATTCTGCTTGTCACATGCCATTTCTCTCAATTCATCAGATGCCTTCTTGATGTGTTTCACCTTCCTCACCCTAGCAGTTTGTCTAGTTACTCATATAGTCCTTGAAATAAGAATTTTAATCACCCTATTACACTCCTTTCACACATGCATAAGGAACGGGCACAAAAATTTGCCTATTTCTGTGTAGCAAAAATTAATCCTATTGGACTGCATGATATTGGCTTTGAGCCACCACCCAATTACATTACTTTTCATTGGACTCCTTTAATAGAATTAATAGAAGCTCCTTTTTATAGCTGCTCATTTAATGTTTCATATTGGTGTAATTTAGATTTATGCTATTATGGGGTGGAATTCTTTGAAATGGTAGACCAGAATAGCATTTTACTTGTCTTTTAATTACTTGGCTAATTGACTATCCCAAAACTGTTGTAAATACGCATATACATTCTTTGTCGCTAAAACTCAATTCAAATCAATATATAAAGAAATCTCATTTACCTGTCAGACGCATTCTCGCCTTTTATCATTTTCTACATATTTTATTGACGACACAATTAAATACATTTACAACAAAGAGAAAAGCACATATAAACTTTGGTTAATGTTTCGCGTTGGTGTTAGATCTTTCGCAATTTTCAAGGTTCTGCACTAGTCCGAAGAATTCAAGCGCACACAGCGCCATCTGGTGCAATACAGTTTCTACAGACTGCCCCCCGAATGACCAGGGGTTCCTTCAAACACTTACATTAATATAAATTTAACAAAAGAAACTTTTACAATGTAAAGTTCAATCAATTCACATATTAAAGAAACTACACTTATTTATTATATAAACAAATCATTCATCTTTAAACAGTTTGTAAAGTTACTTGCAATAAAGTATAATAAAGATAATAAGCTGGCAACTCAATACCTGTACATACATTAAACTTTCATCACATATATGGAATAGTCCTGTAACAATAATACAAATTAATAAGCATATAATAATTAAATTTATTAATTTATTTCAAGATTATATAAAAGCTGCACAGGTCTTTTAATAACTGATGTCCCTGTTTTAATTTCACAAGACCTTATTTTTCCATCTCTGCCAGGAAATACTGTTACAACTCTTCCTAATTTCCAAAAATGTCTAGGTAGCTTTTCATCATGAATTAATACAATATCATTAACTTTAAATTCAGTAATTTTACCTGAAGGTTTAACACAATGAACAGATCTCAGCATTAATAAGTATTCATTTTTCCATTTATTCCAAAACATACTTACCAATCTTTCTCGATAATTAAATATTTTAATTAGCGTTTTCCTATTAACTAAATTAGAATCAAAATTAAGCCTGGCAGGAGACAAACTATTCACCCTGCGTCCCAATAGCATATGAGCTGGAGTTAGAGGCATAGGTTCCTGTAATTCAAAATAAACATAAGTTAAAGGACGAGAGTTAAGAAAACCTTCAATTTCAATAATTAGAGTTTCTAACTCTTCTCGAGATAAAGTAGTTTTTCTGACAGTTTTTCGTAAAGCAAGTTTTACAGATTTAATTAATCTTTCATAGAAGCCACCCCACCACGCAGCTTTCTCAGCGATGTAGCACCATTGGATTTTGTGGGAGGCGTAAAAGTCTTTTACTGTTGGATGACTAATGACAGTCCACAAATTTTTAAGTTCAAGTTCTGATCGTTTGAAAGTTTTGGCATTGTCCGTCAAAACTTGAGAACATAGACCTCGACGAGCAATGAATCGTCGAAAAGCAAGAAGAAATGTTTCTGTGGTCATGCTACCAACAAACTCTAAATGAAGAGCTCGTGTTACTCCACAAGTAAACAACACGATGTAGTTTTTCTCATCACTGTCTTTGGTATAAAGTGGTCCACCGAAATCTATACCTACTACAGAAAAAGGAGGTAATTCTTCTGTTCTATTTACTGGTAAAGGAGCAGTAACTTGCACACCAGGAGAAGAATTAAATCGTTTACACAGAATACGTTTTCTTAAGATATTTTTAACAGTTTGTCTTCCTTTAATTATCCAGTATCTTTCGCGTATTTCTATCATGTTTCAGAAATTCCACCGTGAAACACTTTGCTGTGTGCATCCCACACTAATAAATTCACAAAGTGATGTTTTGGGGTATAATAATTGGGTGTCTTTGAAGATAAGAAAGTCTTGACTTCTGAAGTCTTCCACCAACATGCATTATCCCGTCATTATTAAGAAAGGGATTCAGTTCTAGAATAGAGGAAGTCTTAGAAAATTCTTTTACCCTGTCTCAAAGAGGACAGCTCTTCCGCAAAAGCTTCACTTTGAACAGTTTTTGTCCAGATAATTTCAGCCTCGTTAAGTTCTTCAGTGCTTAGTTTAGTTTTAAATTTAAGGTTGTATATAAATCAAAGTATCCAACTTGTAACACGGTATAATTTTCTTAAACTACTATATCTATTCAAACATCTAATCACACAAAACATATCTAATCACACAAAAGACGATACTTCTTCCAGTTTACTTCTTTTTTCACAATATACTTCTGGAGAAATCTCTAGACAAATTTCATAATTAGAGCTTTTCAGCCAATCCCTTTTCTTCAACCGAAGCCATTCTGGACCTTGCATCCAAATCGAACTGGACATAAACTTTTCCACGGTAGCTCTTCGAGATATGAAATCTGCAGGATTATCCTGCCCACTACGGTGATTCCAATCAGCAAGATCAGTTCTAGACTGGATTTCGGATACACGGTTCGATACAAAAGGTTTCCATTTTGAAGCTTTCCCTTTAATCCAATGAAGAGCGATTAAGGAATTTGTCCACATATATATACCTTAGGCACAGGAAATTTAAAATTTGTTTTCAAATATTGGAAAAGTCTAGAAGAAATAACAGCTCCCATAAGTTCAAGCCTCGGTAATGTCAACCTTTTAAGTGGTGCGATTTTAGATTTCGCAGTGATAAAACTTGTATAAATGCAATCATCACTTGACACGTAACGGAAGTACGCAACTGCTTCGAAAGCTTTAGGAGAAGCGTCAGAAAATATGTGTAGTTCTAATTCTTTCACCAACTTCCATGGTATGGAGAAATATTTTCTTTCGATTGTCAAATCTTTCAACGGATAAATCTGAGAGCACCAATTATCCCATTTTTTCTTCAAGTCAGCTGATAGCTCAACATCCCATCCTAAACCAAGTTCCCATATTTCTTGCATTAATAATTTTATGAGAACAATAAAAGGTGATGCAATTCCCATAGGATCAAATAACTTTGAAGCTGTCCGCAGTACACTACGTTTTGAATTCTTCCTATCACAGGTCATGTCCAGTAGAGGTTTTACATCTAACTTAAAAGTATCTTCTTCGGTGTTTCCATATTATGCCTAAAACCTTCAAAGGACGTTCTTTATTTTAGTTTCTGTCAAATCAGACAAACCTCGTTCACTCCATAAATTTCTCAACTCATCCGAATTAGTATTAAATTTTCTTAAATTCATGTTCGCATCTTTAAGAATTTTTACAGCACTCTGTAAAAGTTCTAAAGTTTTCTCTATTGTATTTGCTCCGTAAAAAAGATCATCTACATAAAGTGCCGAGTCAAGCATTTTACAAGTTTCGCTTTGTTCAAGTTTATATTTTCTAATGTGGTATTTAATAGTGGCAGCAAGGATAAATGGGCTTGATGTCACTCCAAAGGGAACACGAGTCATTCGTAAAATTTTGTAAGTTTTTGGAATCACTTTCATCTGGAAACCAAAAAAAACGTAAATAGTCTCTATCCTCTTCCACTATTCCTATGGTCAAAAATGCTCCCTGGATATCACAGCTGAATGCATATTCATATTCGCGAAATCGCAAGATTACATCCAAAATTTTGGGATTCAACGGTGGCCCAGGATTCATGCATTCATTAAGAGATTTGCACCCATTACCTTTTGACGATGCATCGAAAACCAATCTGACTTTCGTAGTGTCCCTATCTGATCTTACTGCAGCTGAATGAGGCATATAATAAGAACTCTCTTCTAAGCCGAAAGGACATTCTTCAATGATATTCAGTTTTAATTGCTCCTTAACTATATTCTTATATTCAGTATAAACCCAATCATTTTCTTTCATTTTTACACTTAAGTTACGAAATCTTCGTTTTGCTACCGCGAAATTGTTAGACGAGTTTTCTGGTTTACCGTCCTAGAATAATTTAGTTGTATACATTCCATTTTCATATTTTAAATTATTTTCGAATTGAGAAATAAATTCCTCTTTAAATTTAAAATCTCCACTGTGAGTATCATTTATCCCCCATTGAATCTAACTGCCAAAACTGCGTTAGTTTTTCATTTGATGCAGCGCAACATTCAATTTTATTAATAGAAATATCCCGATTCGCATTTGAATCTGATGAAGGGATTCGACCTTGAACAACCCTTCCAAACAGAGTATCAATCAAATACAAAGATTTATTTAATCGCTGTTTTTCTCCCGTATGAATATCCCAAAAATACTGTGCTCCAATAAGCAGAGACAATTCATTTCCTGACGATTTACGCAAGTTTGACAACTGAATGTTCTTCCTCGAAAGTATTTGCATTAATTTGTTATGTGATACTTTAAACTGCAATCCAGAAATACAGTCAGTCAAAAGTGCTTCAATTGTTATTTTCTTGTCCGAATCACAGAAATTACAAAGTGTAAACCGAACTACGTCATACATTTTTTGTATTGGCACTCTAGAACCGAAAGTGTAAACAGCTAGACTTTCTTGTCTAATTATGGGTAGTTTCATTTCTACGGCTACTTCTTTTCTAAAAAAAACATCTCTGTGACGCATTATCTAACGAAATATTAATCTCTTTGCTTTTATTACTGCCTATTAATACTGCCAAGCAAGTTTCAAGTAGTATATCGGATTCATTCACACATGCTACAGAAGACACAACATTTAATTTATTCGCGTTGACGGTCTGACCAGACTCCAGAGTGGGGGAAGAAGAATAAACATTGGTTTGATCGCAAATCAATTCGTGATGCATAAAACGTTTACAAATTCCACAAATAGATTTCTTTTGACACTGCTTATATACGTGCCCCTTCGAAAGGCAAGCGTAACATATACCATATTTTCTAAGAATTAATTTTCTCTGTTCTACCGATAAGGGACAAGAGGTAGAATCATGCTCTATTTTCGGTTTTGTACAAAATATACATTTTTTCTAATCAACAATAAATGCAAAAGTAGTAGGAATGTTCGAATTTAATTTATTTTTCCTGCTATAATCAACCTTGGTTTTATTAAATCTCCCATACTTTTCATTAGGTTTTTGTAAAGGATTAAATTTAGTTTCCAATCGCGAATCTGAAGTGTTTAAATTAAAGTCTCTACTTAAGTACTCGTTATGTTCACGACACTGAATTTCAATCTTTAAAAATTCTAATAAATGAGATATTTTGTTTTCATCTTCCGAATGTGTTTTATGAGAAAATTCTAAGGACAATTCTTTGGGTATCAATTTTAACAACACTGGATACAATAGACAACTGTAACTATTAGGATTAATTCCGTTATTTTCTAATCCTCGAATATGTGTTTCGCATTCTGAGTAAAGTCTACACAACGCTACAATGTCATATGATTTTCGTACTGGACTTAAGTTTAAAAGTCTTGCCATATGGCCATCGATAATAATATCTTTTGACCAAAGCGTCTTTTAATATGTTCAAGGCAATTTCATAGTTTCAGAGCTTAATGCTAAACCATGTAGACCTACCTCAGCTTCGTCTGTTAAGTACAATTTTAAATAACTAACTTCTACATTACTAAGATTCACATTTTATGGATAGCTACTTCAACTGAGAATAAAATTCGTTAAACCTTAATATATTGCCATCGTATTGAGGTATCTGCAGCGAGGAAGTTTTACTGTATTCTGCTGCTCACTTCTGGTTTCTACAACATTCGTTCTTTCAGTTTCGCGAACACTTCGCTTTCTTTCGTTTTAAGGATTCTATTCGGCGAATTTTCCAAGTAATAATATATCTTTATATTCTTGCTGTTTTTCAATTTCCTTTCTATTTCTTCCGTTTTGCACAGTTTAGAATTCCTCGTTAAGATACTTTAAATTAGCTTCTTTATCTAAAAGTTTGCTAAAAGTTCATCAATTAAATCACTGATCTTTCCTGTTTGTTTATTTCAGTTTCTAACAGTTTCATGTGTCTTGCCGCGTCTGACAGGTGCTCTAATCTTTTTTAAAGCTTCATCCATCATAAAATTTAATTATTCAATTCGCTAAATACGTTTTCAGTATTCAATTCGCAATTTTACTTTTCTAAAGGTCTCTTCGGATTATCGGCACCAAAAATATTTTAATACGCATATACATTCTTTGTCGCTAAAACTCAATTCAAATCATTATATAAAGAAATCTCACTTACCTGTCAGACTCATTCTCGCCTTTTATCATTTTCTACATATTTTATTGACGACACAATTAAATACATTTACAACAAAGAGAGGCACATGTAAATTTTGGTTAATGTTTCGCGTTGGTGTTAGATCTTTCACAATTTTCAAGGTTCTGCACTAGTCCGAAGCATTCAAGCGCTCGCAGTGCCATCTGGTGCAATGCAGTTTCTACAACTGTTTCATCTTAAAGTGCTTGCTAACTGTCAGTGTGATTAAAATCAGTATGAAATAATTACATTACTGTAATTTTCACAGTTGTTTAAAATTACAGCGCTTTGTTGAATTTGCATTTTTCTAAATTATTTGCTAATTAAAGTTAATACATATAATTAATTCTATTTAAATTTTTTGTAGTGCCTGCAGCAGATGGGAAATAGCCAGGCTCGTGCTGTGTATGAAGCTAACTTGCCTGAAAGTTTCAGGAGACCACAGACAGATTCATATCCTTTTTAACTGACATGAGTTTAAATTTTCTTAACAATTTTTAAGTTAGAATTTCTAAGAGATGAGTTTAAATTAATTTTCTTAAATATGTTGTAGTTTTTACTTTATTGACAATGCATGCTACAGAAAATAATTCTGATTTGTAAAAACCTCTTGAGTATTTTTTAATTATGTGATCTTCCTTTCCACGATTTACAGGTGTGTTTATCCTTCAGATACCTCTGTTGTATAATTAACTGCTTCCACCTTTTTTCTTTTCTGAATTTGATTGCATAATAGTTTTTGACGGTTATATAAGTAAAACTTTAAAAAAAAAATTATCTACTTATGTTAAAATTCAAACCTTCTGATTATAGTATAATGAAAGTACACTACGCAAAAAAAAGGGCATAGAAAATCCTTTTCTACTGGGCGGATTGAAAAAATTCAAATTGCATTTTTCATGTCTCGAAAGTGCGACTTAGGATATAAATTAGATTTATATATAGCATTGTTCTAACATGGGTATTTTGACACAAAATCACACTTTTTCTGAAATAACATACCTATTTTTTTCCATATTTCGATTCTACGACTCAAATTATGTGTAATATTAAATTTGGTAAAATTTGGTGCAAAATTTACATAGGAATTCAAAAATTCATCTTGGTGCCATTTTTTTCAGTTTGCGCCACTTGAACTTCTTAATATATGACAACCACTTTTCCTTTCCCTTCCATTATGCTAGAGAGGAAAAAAGGTTCCTAACTTTTTACATTATGCATGAGCGGGAAAAAAGGCACATCGTTTCTACTTTGAAATAATTTTAGCAGTCTCTAAACCACATTTGTTGTTTTATCGCTTTGAACAAATATGCCAAATTTCAGAATGGGCCCATATATAAATTCACGTATATCTTCAGAAATTTTGAATAAAAAAACTTAATTTTTTGCAGGTATGCTTGCTTAGTAGTACATCAACTTTAAGATGTTGGTAAAAATTTTATAGATTATAATTCAAAAAATTTTTAAAAAATTTATTTAAAATTACAGATTTAAAAAATAAATTTGTGAATTTTATTTGGAATGAACCTGAATTTTGAAATGTGAAAGGAAGAATAAAATAAGTTTAACAAAAAAGAGAGGTTAGTAAATATATACCAAACTCAACATTGAGGAGCTAAAATTTAGAGAGCTAATTGTTAAAAAACTACTTGTGCGATGTTTGCAAAATCTGGTAGTTTGCCGTAATTTGAGTCGTAAAATTGAATTATGGAAAAAAATTGGTGTTATTTCAGAAAAAGTCCAATACGGTGTCAAAATACCTGTATTAGAACAATGCTATATATAAATCTAATACGTATCCTAAGTGGCGCTTTCGAGACATGAAAAATGCATGTTGAATTTTGTCAATCGGCCCAGTAGAATGAGAGATATAGAACTGTCCCCTTCTTTTTTTTTTTTTTTTTTTTTTTTTTTTTTTTTTTTGAACAATTAAAATATTATGACCACCATCTTAGTACCATTAGCATGGAAAACTGCTACAATTTCTTTTAATGTGAATTCTAAAAGTCACTGGTAATTGTGTGGAGGAAGATTGTATCTGATTTGGTAGTAGTTTTTGAAGATTTGAAGGAGGTGGTTGGGCCAGCTCTAAGTTGCGAGTTTAAAACATCCAAGATTATGCTTAATACTATTGTCGTCAACTGAAATTCCTCAAGCACTTAGGGCGATAGTGGGTTCTGAAACAGTTATCAGTCCCAAGAACATGGATGAGAACACCCAGAAAATTAAAATACCTCAACCACTACCCTTTTTATGTACTGTGGTATATCTGGTGATCAAATGTTTGCCTGAAAAGCAACCTTGAGTTGACTGTTTAAATTCTTTTTAAAAAAATTGTGATTCATATGTGCAGGCTACCCTTTTTCATTTTTTCATAATTGAAAATTGTGTTAATAGGTCTGCTTTAGTTGTGAATGAATGAATGCTGGATTAACAGAGACAATGACAGGAGGTGAACAATAAAATTCAGTTAACTAATTGTATATTCACATAACTTGCACCTGCATTGTATTTAACTAGTTGAACTAATAGCTGCTGCATTTTTGCCTGAATTAAGTGGTACTGTTACACAACTAAACATCAGCTTGTGAACACCTGATGAGCAGTACCATTCCTAGCCTTTGGGCCATTGCAGTTTGGCATTAACAAAAGTCACTTAAATCAGTATCCTTTCAGATTATGTTATGCACATAGTAAATAAAATACTGTCTTCAGCTTCTGTTAAATAATATTCCTATTTCTGCACTTGCCATTTGTATCATTCCGATGAACAAATACACTGTGACTATATAGGAGGTGGTCATAATGTTTTGTCTTATCGTTCGTTGTATATTGCAGTGTAGAAAATCATGTTGGTTTTCACTTCAGTATTTAATTTTATAATTAGAGCTCAAAGGATGTGATGTGGAAAATTGTTTGCTAGCATAACATATTTCTAATGTGGATGACTGTGCATGTATAAAAGTTGAAAATATATTTAAATAGATATCTAAAAAAGCATTAGCGGGATTATGTTTTTAATGTGTATATGAGCCTTTTTAATGCTTCATATTCCACATTGCATTCTTTAAGTTATTTTATTGAAGTTATTATTTATAAATTTTGAGGTTATTGTACAGCTATATATTTTCAGGTTTGAATTTAATATTAAAGTAAAATGTAAACTCCATAATTAGTTGAAAAAATTTCGTATTTAATTTGCTTTCCTTACATCTGTTCTTGTACTTCATTTGTTATACACTTTAACACATTCTCAGATCCTTAGAAGCTTTTATCAGGGCTAAATATGAATTAAAGAAATACATAGCTAAGGAATGGGTTCCGCCTCCTGCTCCCAAACCTGCAGTATGTAATACTTGTGTTCTTCAGTATTTTGTTTACCTTTTCCAAATTTGTTTCTAATACTTATCTATGTTTAATTTAGTTTGATATTGAAGAAGAAAAACGGAAGGAGAGAGAAAAAAAGAAGTCCAAAAATAAAAGCTCTGCTGTAATTGAAATACCTGTATGTCCTATTAAAATCTTAAATTTTGTAGATTTTTGAGTTTTCTGTCTATCCTTTTATATTTTTGTGACTGGAAAAATATCATGAAGAGTGATTAAATCTCAGTTCAAAATGTTTGTGTGATATTCAAGTTTTTAATCTTTTTTTAATTGATATTATTATTGGCGTGTGACAGAATTCGATCGAGTTTTTATATTATAAGAGAACCTCAATTATCCAGAGTAATTGGGGCTATAATCACTTTACACAGTCGGAAACTCAGTTAATAGAGACTAAATTTTAAATCGGGCCATTTTTTTTTTTTTCCTTTCAGCAAGGTTATTCAAAAATTATTTGAAATTTTAAAAATAGGTGTGCAGGTACTACTATTGACATTTTAAGAAACTTTTTTATTATTAGGTAAAATTTGTTTCCTTCAGTTATACAAATAATCTGCTCAAGATATTATTTTGTGACAAAAGTATTTGCGAAAAAAAGAGGTAAATGAGCTTAATCAAATTTTATGCAAATGGTGAATTTTGTCAAATTTTTACACACGTTTTTATGAGATAATTTTAAAAAGTTGACACATGATTATGTCATTTTTTTTATCAGTAAAAGCTCCATTGAAGAAATATCAGAATGTTACTGTAAATGTTTGAGTTTTGCTTGAAGCTTCAGCCAATGTAGTTACCAGCAGCACCTACCAGTGCAGTAAAACCATTGAACAATGGTAGTTCACAATGATATAAATCTTGGGAAACAGACAGAAGCTTGGGAATTTTCATGGTTTTTGTCATGTGTAAAATGAATATGAGCATTTTCTCTTTAAAAAATCACTCTAGGAGGAATCTCTTCACTTAGGCAGATAGCCTTCATGTTAATGAAAATGACACCAAAGCTTTAGTATGGCTAATTTTCATGTTATTGTAATCTCCAGCATTACTCCTGTGAATGATTTCTTCATCACTCAAAACCTGAAAAATTGATTTGTTGTTTTCTGCATTTATCCATAATGAAACATGATTTAGAGCAATATCTTCACATCCTTTTTTTTTTTTACATTTTTCATTCTTTATTTTTTTGAAAAATGTGAACAAATTCATTGTCAGTTAGTGGTACTTTTATCTGTAATACGTATAAACCACAGCTTTTACTGTAATGTATAACAGGAACACGATTAAATGATCTGTTGCTAATAAGAAAAGCCACAAGTTCAATCACTGATAAAAAATTCATGAATGTTACTGATTTTTGTTGTACTCTCTGTTATTCTCTTTTCTCAATGATTCCTTTGTATTCACTGATGGGTCAATTAAAAGAGACTTCCATTGCTAGAGGCCCAGTTAACAGTGTTCTACCCGATAAAGTTGAATGAAGTTGACTGCAAAGCAGTTAACATATTTCATTACTAAAAAGTAAGTATTTGATATATTTTTCATACATAGAGATCAAAATCTCAGCAAAATTTAATTATGTGTGTGTAAAAATCAAATTAAAAACATCATTTTTATACCATGCCCACTACTTTCCAAGTAGATAAAGAGTGCTGAACACTAATAGTTTGACCTGGGTGAACAGGGTAGCTGTATAGGATTTTTTTGTAGCTTTTTCCATGTGTAACATGTGTACAAACAAATTCCCTTTAGAAAATCTATGTTGGTCTCTCTTCCTCTGAGGTATAGTGTTTTTCTATAATCAGGTAATCAGTCCATCCTATTTATTCCATGCAGTGTTAAACTGACTTTTTAAAATATAATGAAATGTTGGAAATATTCAAAGATGAAATATAAATTTCCCTATCTTCAACTAGAGATATTTAATGGCTTAATCCATATCCATTCTCAATTGTGAGAATGAGTAATTAGTCAGTATATCTCCTTCTAAACTTTATAGATGATGTTTACTCCTTTAAATTCTTATCATGAAAATCTTTTAGCAAAACCTTGTGTTTACAAATAGATGATAAAACTAGATTTTTTTAGTTTGTCGTATGTTATCTCCGTTTTAATGTGGATGACAAAAAACTTGTTAATTTTAAAATCGCTAATTTTATTGATTTGAATATTTCATGCATGAGAGCTTATGATGTGTACTGTGCATGAACTACTGAAATTTTGACATTTATATTTTGTTCAGTGGTTATTTATGTGACATTTTTAATGGCTTCTAATTTTACTATCAGATGCATCACTTTGAATCCCTATTTTAAGAAAATAATTTCTGATCTTTTCTTTTTCACTTTAAAGGCTCTGCCTCAACATCCAACAGCATTACCTCGACCCCATAGTACAGGACCTCACAGTCCTTCATCTAAACCTGTGCATCAAGATCCATCTAAATCTAATGCACATCAAGTGCCTGGAACAGATTTATTAAATTTGGGTAATATTTTTTCTTGAATTGTTTTTATGAATAAAACTGGCTTATGATTCATTTGTGAAAAAAAATTTTTAATTTCTTGACTAGAATAATAACTATTAACCCTTTCTGGCACGTTACCTTTTTAAATTTGGAATTTCGACAACAAAAAAAAAGGTAGGCAGTCTAATCAGGCCTAGAGGAGTAAGTATACAGCTAAATTTTGTGAAGATACTTATTGCTTTAAATCTGTGAGTGAATGAGCTTTGAAAAGAGTTCTGAAATGAGCATTGCTGGGAAGCACATAAGAGAGTAAGAGATTTTGTCTACGATTCAAAAAACACTAGATTCTGAATACTTTAGCTGATTTAGCATTACCCAGGGTGTGCCACGGGGAGGCCTGCTACTCTACACACCCTATAAAAGCTCTTCTGGGTTATATGATGATTGTATGCATATGAATGGAAAAAAGTCACTTTGGGTATATTATATTTACACTTGCTTTTTTTTTTTTTTCCCATGGTGGTACTATTTGAAGAAAGTGATGCCACCTTTAAAATAGCACAACCCAATATTGCATGCTTTGCCGATGTACCGAGATCTGTATCAGATTCACTATCTGAAAGCAATTCAGTGATTCAGAAATGGTCAGCCCTTTCCAATCCATTTGGAAAATAAAAATCCGAAAAAAATAAACTGATATATTATCTCTACAATTCGAAATTATAAAGTATAAAATAAATTTAAATAAATGTCTACAACTCAAAACTAACAACCGTAGTGCTAACAAAACTTCTTTGAACAAAAGAAAAAGAGTAAATCATGAAACAGCTAACTGATAAAATTACCCCTGACCTTCAGATCACCTCAACAATTTCTTAGTTGATAGCCAAACCTTCTCTCCGCCCCCCCCCAAAAAAAGAAATGAAAGAGAAAAACAGGAAATGAAACATAGGTGTGGGCCCACCTTTCTATTGCCAATGAACTGACCAGAGAGCTGCAGAGAAACAGATACAGTTTTGGTCTTGTCCTAGTCTCTCAGTGAGCTCACTCTGGGCACACCTGATGTTTCCCATTCGCTTTTAGGTAAGATTTCAAGGTAAAAATTTAAAACCAATATAGAATAAGTACATTAGCATACAGCCAAGAAAATAACAGAATTTTCTTTTCAAACAATTATTTATATCCTAAAAAAATCTGAAAGATTTCTTTGAGAAATGAGGGTCTAAACATGGCTAAAATATATGGACTGGTTTGTGTTATGCTGCCATTTAGTATAAATAAAGAAGGTTCAGAGTAACCTATAGTAATCTATAAATCCTTTCTCATTCAATTGTCTGTGCATACAGAAGGAAAATTTTAGGTCTGCCCAGATCAGGCACAGCGTGCCGCAAAGGGTTAAAAACTGTTTTTCTTAATTGAGCTAAGCTTGTATACTTGTAAATGAAAATAAGTTATATTTTGTAGTATTTTTATTTATTTGTATATTTATTTTTGCTAACAAATCTGAACTTTTTATTTTGAAAATATATTACAATCTAGTTTTTGTTTTAATAAATGTTTCTGTACTTTCAAAGTTTTCTAAGTGATAGTGAGATAAAATGTTTGCTTGCTTTGTTAATATTTATTGAAATTTTGTTTAATCTTTTCTCATAGGAGAAGCAAGTGCTGCTATAGATGACAACATTTTTGATGCATTCCTTAGTGCACCTGTGACATCTGTACCTGAGAAAAGTTTACCGACCACACAAACAATACCTAATGTAAATGCAGTTCCCGAAAATAGTGTTTCTAATGATGAAGCAGACTTTTTTAGTCAAAAATCTGAGACAGATGTAAACCAAACCAATAAAATGACTAAAGAATCTATACTTTCACTTTATGGCTCTAATGCATGTCAGATACCAATAACTCAGCATATTGCACCTGTATATGGAGTATCAGGTGACTTTATTTATTAATTTTTATCTTAGGAAATATTTATTAAGGCATATTTATTGCACACATTTCTCATTGTCTGCAGTTAAGATTTATGTGCATTTGTTTTATTTGTGTAAGTAATTTATTCTGGGTATGTAATTGAGGCAAGTAAGAGAGTTGGTGTTTAAAATACTTACTTTGTTGTTTCATGTTAGATTTTATAAAAATGTATGGATGTGGAATTACCAAGCTGATTAAAATTAAACTGGAGAAGCCCAGTCTAATCCTGAAAACTATTAAAGTAACTTCTGGTTTCGACTCACTTCAAATGGGTCCCTTTTTACATTTGTGTCATGTCTAGAATGCTTTTATATTACAGATTTTTAAATTGTATGCTTTGTGCTCTTCTGTATTTCAACATGAATATCTTCTTTACAGTAAACTTGAGATAAGAACAAAAACTTACTGTATTTGACGGCATATAAGACGCACTTTTTTTCCTAAATTTGGTCTCAAAAAGGTTACCTGCGTCTTATACGTGAAGGACACAGTCTTATATACATGAAGGTAATTGCATTCAATAATTGCTTATTTGGCTTTTACAAAACACGAGAACTAAAAGAAACCACGCTATTGAAACTTTTTTTCTTTGTGTGTGGCCGTCTAAATAAGGGTGCGTCTTATATGCCGTCAAATACGGTATTCATTGCTATCACACTTAGAGAAAGCAATTTCCTACCTCACAGAAGCAAAGAAGCTGGGAAGACAGTGTTTATATATATATGTGTGTGTGTGTAAACACTCTGGTTCACTCATATTTTGTTTCCCATGTCAAAAAGTCTTTATGGTGTTTTTAGGAATATTTTAAGGTGACTAGGAAAGGAATCATAACAGAGGACCTAAAGTGTGAGACATGGAAATCAATATCTTTGGTGTATCAGATCACTAAGCTGCAGTTGCCTGAAGGTTTTAGCAGAAATGAGACTGGTCTCTCATCTTTATGTTCAGCAGATATAGCATGCACCCTGAGTTTTCATTTCCAGTGATGCACTGAGATTTTGACTGTACTTTAAGTATTCAGGGTAAACTGTGGAAGGTTGTAGACATTTGTGACTTTCAGGTATAATTTCAGTTATGGTGTTAGGGCAGGAGTTGGGTATATTAATGTGGAAGAAAATGGGAATTAAATTCTTTCAAGTTTCCAAAATTTGATTGTCCTTATCCAGATTTTTTTTTATCAGCTTGTTATACTTAATGTGGTAAAGTTCTGTTCCCTAAAAAGGAAGTTATATCTTTTAAATTAATTGCATGTGTTTATTACAGCTTTTAGGAGACATTAAGTATATCCTTCAATAAATACAAATGAATAATATTTGATTACAATGGCCTTTTTATGAAAAGTCTTATGAAACAAATTATTCTTGTAGACCCTGTTTGATTATCTAACGATCCAACTTTATTTAGTAGTAGTAGTGTAGGAAATTTACTGTTTTGTGGAACATCCAGTCAACTCTAGGTTGTTTTTTTAATTTGTCATATCTCTTTTACTGTAGGCTTTAAATGAGTAATGTTATGATGTATATATTTATTTCATTCCTCTGTATTTTGTGATCTTCATGCTCTTTTGTTTTAGACTTTTATCTTTTGATCTTTTAATCTTTTTTTAATCTCCTTTTAATAAATCACTTTGATCAGTGAACATATGAAAGCTTGGTGAAAAATTGCTGTTGTTCATACCTTGCTTTTGCTTTAAACAGTGACTAAGGTCCAGATTTAAGCTTATGAATCTTTTAAATAGGAGTTAAAACCACTGTGGGTCATCATAAAGTATCTTGAGAATGCTGTTTGAAAACTGACGTGAATGCCATTTACTATTTCTTTGTTTACAAGTCCATTGATAAGATGCTTGTACCTTCTCAATTTTTACTGAATGTTCTAACAAAATTGTATATGAATATTTTAAATAATAGCAGAACCAATGCTTAAGTACTGGCCTCGTATTTCATTGAAAATTTTTATAGATTATTACAGGGCTTCTCAACAAGAGGAAAATATGTTTATTAACATATTAAGCATTAAGTTTTATTTTATGAGAATAAAAAAACTACTTTGCTTCAAGTTTTGGTATTTGTCAACATTGCCTGTACTTATTGTTTAATTTATAAAACACACACAAAAAAAAAAATCTAAATTTAAGTAAGAGGAATGATCATCAAGCAGTAGTGAAAGGGGTGCATGGAGCAAAAAAAGGTTGAGAATCACTGGGTTATTATTTAAAAGCGTATTTGCACAGTGCCATAGGAACATTACGTTTCAGTGGTTTATAGGCATGTTTTGATGTCAGAAACATGATCATCATTTTCTAGATGAGCTTTATTTGCAGGTTGTGGTAGTTTTCATGTAGATTTTATAGATCTTGATCTATACCGACGAACCAAAACATTATGACCATCCCCACATTTTTTTGTGAACTCATCTGGATGACATGGAGGGCACGTGATTAAGTAGGAATGGTATTTATTTAACTGCTGCTTAGAAAATATAAGGCATTATTCTCGCACTTAATTTTGTGAGTGATGGGAAAGGCTGTGAATCTAATTGAATTTGAAGGCAGATTGTAATGGCCCAAAGACTTGGAACAAGTATCTCTGAAACTGCATGACTGGTAGGTTGTTCACAATCTGCCATTGTTAGTATTTATGCAAAGTGGATAAATGATGGTGAAACCAGCAGTAGATGCCAAGGTGTTATATGCCCACACATCATCAAAGAAAGAGATGACCCAGATTGTCCTACTTTGCACAACAAAATCGGTGCCAGGCAGTGGCTCAGTTGACAGTCCAAATACAGTCCAGGTCTAAATTCAGGTGTTTTGGAACACACAGTTCAACAGACACTGTTGAATATAAAACTGCACGGCAGATATCCCACCAAGTGTCATTATCAACTGTGCCTACATTGGGCCCAGGAATGTTGAGACTGGACCATAAATGAGTGGAAGACAGTTGCCCACTCAGATGAATCATGATTTCTCATTCATCACATTGATGGTTGTGTCAGGATATGCCATCTTCCAAGCAAACAGTTGCTCCCTCCCCTTACAGCAGGTTATATATAGGCTGTTGGGGGGTGTTCTCATTGGTGCCTCTAGGTCCCTTAGTTCTGGTAGAACAGATCATGAAAACTGTGGGTTATCTGAACATAATTGTGGATCAGTTCCACCCTTCCATTGCATCTGTCTTCCTAAGTGCAAAAGAAATCTTCCAGCAGGACAACGCCTCATGTCAAATGCCTCGAATTGTGTTGGAATGGTTCAAGGAGCATAAGGATAAATTCCAATAGATGTCCAGGCCATTAAACTTGCTGGATCTTAACTCGATAGAGCACATTTGGGATGTCATGGAGCGATAGCTCAAAACTGAAACACCACCATTGTCAGAATATCTCTTGTGGCATACATGCCAAGGCAATTTGCAGCTGTTTCGCAGGCCAAAGGTCACACAATGCGTTATTCAGTAGATGGTCATAATGTGTTGGCTCTTCAGTGTAGAACTCATATTGTTTACCTTAAATTACCTTTTTCTGTTTGCCTCCACATGCAAAATCATATTCCCTGCTGACTAAAAAATATTTTTTTCACTCTTGTATTGTGCTCTCAAAATTTCTTCGTAAGAATGCATGCTTTCTCTACAAATCAATTATTTAAAAGTAGTTGCCATTGAGAGAGGATTTTATCCCACAGGTAATAATAAAGCCTTTCACTAGCCATCATAAAAGACCTTCTTTTAAAGGCAATCCTAAAAATCTTGCTATAATATTTCATCTTTCTATCAGTAGTTACAAAATTGCTTGGGTTTTCCAAAAGTTCAATTTAGGTTATTTTCTCAGTCATCAGTAAAATCCACTATTTAGTTCTAAAACATCTCTGATATTTATTCTTGAATTTATAGCATTTTTTGTTAGTGTAGATTGCCATATATCAGGGACCTGAAGAGTGCATTAGAATGTGTTATCTATGGTTTGAAAAGAGAAATCTTCAATAGCTAATCACCCTTGAGCACTTATCACAATTTTTACTTTCACATTCACAAAAATGTAGCTTCAATTAATAACATTAATTTCAATCCAGTTCTGAACACTTCCAAAATTCTAATTTTCATATTCCGTAATTATTTTTCTGGACAAACCATGCTATATTTGTTTCCACATTGCTGTGATCGTTGATTTCTATGTAAAACTGTTTTGTTTCTCCCACTATCACAAAGATTTTATTCTGTAGGAACTTATATTGCCCTGGAATGATTTTAAAATAAACACCAATGTACATTTACTTGCTAATTTTAAAGATTGATCATTTACTTAGCATCAAATGAAAACAATAGGTTGATACTTATTCCTGAGCCTTGTGACATTAAAACTTAAAAATGATCCTTTGTCAGATAAATATTGATGATTTTTTCTAAATTATTGTTACATATTTTTATCTAAATATGTGCTTTGTCAGTTAAATGCGTAGTTATCTAAATACGTTGTCAGTTAAACATACAGTTGGTTAAATGGATATGTTAACCAGTATCTTGTCATCTAAGTGGTAAGGATTCCCATTTAAGGTGGCAGGGCATCATGTTCGATGGGGCCAAGAGGAATGGGACCATGTGCTGTTTACTAACAAGTCCATATGTAGCCTAAACTATTCTTCTAGATGTTGATTCCTCAAGCCAAACTTATCTGTTTGATCTTGAGGAAGTGAGGAACATGCAGCTTCTCTTTCCTGTATCATTTGGTTTGGAATCATCATACATTGCCACACTGGGCTACCTATCTTTGAAGGTTTTGTAACCAATCGCACATATATGGAAAAGATCTTGGATTCTCGCATAAAGCTGCGTAAGGGTCATTTTGGCTGAAATTTTTCTAATGGATGACAGTGTATTAAGAATTTCAGTCAACAGAACACTTGTTAAGTAGAAAATATCCCTTGAGTGGATTGACTAGTTAACTTACCAGACTTAAATTTGTTAGAGCATTTGGGGCATACCTCAGGCTGCAAACTTGCAGTCTATCAAATGCATCTCTGGATGTTCTAAGATCTGAAAAGTGCACTTAGTGGTGACAGATTTCATCAACTGTTTGGTAACTTCTGTGAAATCAAAATGCTGCCTAACCAAGATAGGGATTAGCAAAGCTGACTGCCTTAATTCAGAAGTCAAACAACAAAATTACGATTTGTTGTTTGACTTCTGAATTAAGGCAGTTTAATTTTCTTATCTTATCTAGTCATTATTTCCTATCTTGCTCATTTGCGGTTTTGCAGCTGAGGATGGTGGTTTGGTAAAAACCATCGAAACTAGTCCTGCGAAAATTTTGAAAATGTAACGCTGATTTTTGTTGTTTGACTTCTGAATTAGTATTTATTCGGCGTGTTATTGTGTCTTAATTCTGACTGCCTTATTTAAGGCCCAGGATCAAATCCCAAATCTATAATGTCTGTGCAGCATGGGGGCACTCTAAATTTGTGGCGAGGCAAAAGTCCTCTCGAGATATTGGTGGTATGGGAAAAGGATAGGAGACTTTTACACCCATCCTCAGGAATGATGTCCCTCAAAATTGGAAGCTAAACTGAGCAAAGTTTAACTGTCACCTGTATGGTGCTCAAGGCTCTACCCAACAACATGCTCAATCTTGCTTTGCCAATGATGAATTTTGTGTGCTTGCTCTGATGTTACTGTCAGACAAGTGAGATAAGTCATAACAACTAATTTCATCAACAGTTTGATAACTTCTATGAAATCAGGATGTGAGGTTTACATTTCTGTGAGAGGTGAATATACATCATTAGATTATATTAATATGGCAAAGTACACGAGGGTTGTCTGCGTAAGGGGACATATGCTTTCATTGAGGACTTTCTAAGGGAAGCTGACCATATTCTTGCTACACATGGGAGAAACCACGAAGACCCAACATGCAGCTAGCTCATTCCCCTGGGTTTGAACTCAGATCAAATTACCAGTATTCAGTGGTCTTAACCACCAGGTCACTGGTGAAGCTGTTTAAGAGTTGTTGCAAAATGAGAGATTACTTTTCCATCATTTTAAAATTAGATGTTAAATTTGATATTTCAAGATTAATCAACTGATAAACATAATAATGTATGTTATATAATACTTTTGTACGTATCGGTACATTTGTTTTAATAATTTTGCCAACAAGTAGAAGAACTACATTTGATTTCTCTCAGTATTCTTTAAATAAGCAGTATAATATGTAAAATTACTCAGAAATTTTTCTCGCCCTGAGACTTACAAAATAACATATTCTCTTTCTTGTAATAAATGAAGTATAGGGAAATTTTCAAGTATTTTTGGTTTACTGTCTTATATATTACACCCACACACACCCAAAAAAATTCATGTGCATGAAAATTATGTAACTTAAAATTTGTATATCTGCCTGCAATTTACTAAATAAAAAGTTTTTTCTTATTAGTTTTTAATGTGTATTTAGTAGCATGTGGTAATTTTTCTCTTATTTGATAATTCTTTTACAATAGGTGGAATGTATCTTGGACAACCAGCATATTCCCAAGTAGGTATGAGTGGATTTCAAGCTCCTAATCCTGGGATTAATACTTGCAATGTAAGACTTTTGAGTGTAAGCTTGTAATTTGCTGCATATTTTATGGTGTGAAAAAGTTTTAAATAATTATAAATAAATAATCAATCAAGTCTTCTATATTCATAAAATGATAGGATTGGTTTCTAAAATTATGCATATTTAATGTAGTTAGAAATCATGCAAAATTTCATACTTTAAGTTGAGTATGTTTCTATGTTGAAACATAGGGATGGAAGTTGACAAAGAACAACTTTTCTTTCGCAACCATTCACCATAAGTGCTGACTCTGGGTTATGTATAATAATACTGCTCGTATTGACGTGTCTTGATTGATGAAAGCTATCACTCTAATGCCAATCCAGTGTTTTTCATAAAGGTGCAGGCAGCTTTATAACAATTTAGTATTTTTCATAAAAGTGCGAGAACTGTTGTACGAAGACTTTGTTTTTCATAAAGGTGTCAAAGATTTATTTTATACCCTTCTTAATTAATTAATCAGTAACTGAAATCAAAATCAGGCTTGCATAAGGTTGCTCACACGTTTATGAGAAAGCTATATTTGCATGAGGGTGCCGATGATCAGTTTCAAGTCATGGACTGATCTTCACTTTGTGCACACTTGCTGTATAAATTACATATATAATTTATACATACTATATAATTCATAACGATGCCATGGCATCATTATGAAGATTTCTGTCAAACAATAATGGCCAACTTTCATAAGAGTTTAACACTGTTTTTGAAGGCAGTCCTCGACTCACGAACTACAGAACCATATTAGCACTCATGATACTGTTTTTTTATAAAAGTGTCATTTCATTATGCTTTTATATTGTTTTATATTTAATATCCAAGTAAGTATGGCTGTATGATGTTTCATTTATGAAATAATGCTGTATAAATTATATATGTAAGATTAATACGTGAGATAAAAAAATATGAAGACAAATTTAGTAAATTAAAACTTAATTACAACAAATTGACAATAGACTTTAAATTACTAATTTTTAATTAAAGTACAACCCCTTCAAAGCATCTGCATTTTCTCTACAATATCCGCATTGCCGTCAACTTTTGCCCAATCACTATCCAGAACTAAAAGATTTTCCAGGCTTTTAAAAGTACTGGAACCAACTCCACATCCTCCTTTGCCTTCCTGCTGACAATGTATCGCTTAGCCTATGCTAACATTATTTGAGATGAAATTACGTATCTAAAAATTAGGAGGTTTAGCACCCCTAGTGTTCTACAAATTGATAAGATATTGGTCATCCAGAAATATATGGGGTTTAATTACCAAGCTGGTTGTGCTTTTTCCAAAATTCCATCTCGTCATCCACTGCTCTGCAGTGTCCAGCAAACAGCACAGAACTTTTTTTCACCCATGACTAAAAAGCAAACTTGTGCATTCCGTAATCAAGCACTCATCTAATATCAAATTATCTGTAATGAACTTTATTGTATTTTATGTATATATGGTGGCTGTTCTGCTGTTTGTGGGCCTGGATGATCCCGTGTTCGTATTTAAAGTCTCGTTTATTGTCTACTAAGCCCTGTTTACAAAATATGAAATAGATAATAAAACTGATCCCTAATCAGGACTTCCAGATGCCCATAATCAATGGAAGATTATGTTATTCAAAATTGGATGGCTCTAGGTACCATTGTTTTTCACAATGCGAAAAACATGCACACATTCACATAGATTCTTCATATATGTCCCATTAGTAGTCAAAGGGTAAGCCACGTAAGGCGACCTTATGTGGCTTTTTATGGAGCCTATGTTTATATATTTACTAAGTAATACTCATCACTCTTAAAAGTGACCACCATAGAAATTTTACAGTATTATAATTTTGATTCCAAAATTTTGAAATCTTCTGCCTGTATACTATCCCGCAATCCGAAATATAACTTATGGCAATTTTAAAAAGAATTGGCAGCGAATAGTATAGGTTATAATCGGCTGGAATATATTTATTTTTAAACTCGGTTTTATTATGCGGCAACAAGGAAATGACCTTGTTTAATTTTCATTTGTAAATATGCCTTTATTCCTGAAATGTGTGACAGTTTATGCAATACAACCAAATGATACTGACAGCAGTTTATTGAATGAACAGGAAAACAAATGATTCAGAAACTTTTTCTTTATACGATGACGTCATGGCTTTAAAAAATATAAATATATAAAAAATCTGAAAGCTTTCAAATTTTATATTACACCCAAGGGGGCATATTTTCAACGTTTTGTATGGTACCTTTATTTATTAAATATCGTGTTCTTTGAACTTTAACCATAAAATTCAACTCAACAGCAATATCCCAAAATAATTTTAAAACGAGCATATCTTTAGAATTACCGATACCCAGTATCTCGCGCTGGAGATAAAAAATGTTTTCCGTACAGTGTTGACATTGCTCGCTTTTAAATCGGTGAGTTTGTTAATCAAAAAGTGTTAAAGTTATACAAAATATGAAATAGAATAAAACAAATTCCAAATTTGGGCTTCCAGATGCCATATTCAGGTGGAAATGTACGTTATTCAAAATTTGATGGCTCTAGGTACCGTTGTTTTTTCGAGAAACATACATAAATTTATGCAGATTCTTCATTATTTAATTTCTTTGAATTTAATGCAGGGCTCAAATATTTGGTGGCAACAATTTGAAAGGTGAACCTTCATTTCAACCCAAAATGCCAAACGAAATTAATAGCTCTTGTAGGCAAGTTGCCCCTTTGGACCTAAAAAATCTTAGAAAAATTTTTCTGATGGTCTGGATATTAGACATCTAGATTTTGAACTTTGTACTATATTGCAATTTCTTACAAAATTACCCTTCTAAGTAAAAAACAAATTCAACTGACAAATATGTTAAAATTACTAGTTATTTAAAGATTTAAGGAATGTTAACTATTCAATTGAACATTATCCTGCGGACCAACAGTGAAATGGTTAAAGCCATGAAAAATTGGTAATTTATCACGAGTTCTGTTTCCAGAAAGTGATGAGCTTGCCACAAGGGAGTTTTGTGTGATTTTGAAATATGTGATATAAACACAAGCCAGTTTAGCTTAGGAAATATCTAAGTGAATATATTACCTTGAGTATTTTAATTACATTAGAAGAACTATAGTCCCCCTTATTCTGGAGTTAAGGTATTTTTAATGTGCTGCTTAAAATATTCACACATGTATAAACAAAATTTATAGATTTGAACAAGTTTTACACTGATTCATGAGTAATTTAAAACACTGCACTTTTGTTAATCATCCAGAAATTCTTTTAACTAAAAAAATTTACTTTATGATTATTTTAAATGGTATCTCAAAAGTTGTCAGCAAGTTTGATTTGTTTGTGATAACTTTATAAATAGTTAATGATAATGAATGTCTTTATTCTTTCTTATTTAAAACCAGAGCATTTATAAAGAACCTAAATGTAAAGAACTAAACATCCCTATTCAATTGAGTTAGAAATTGTCCATTAAGCACATTCTCCTTTCATAAATTTGTTTATTATAATAAATGTAGAAGTGAAAATATTAGTTTCATTATCTGATTCTTGAAGAGTCAGATAATGAATCAGGTTATAGAAAGATCACTGATGCTGTAGTTCATTTTTACAGTAGTGAAATCTCACCTCAGTTTTCTCATTCAGTAGTCAAGCTCTCGCCATATGATGGAAAATCATCATGGAATGTGTACAAAAGGCAGCAAGAAATGATTTATAAAACAAATCAATAGGACTGTGTCTCAAAAGCCATACATCTGGCACTACTTTACGAAGATAATTACAGTCACCATGACAGACAGCAAAGACAGGAAAAGTGCTTTAGTGCATAAAGTGAAAGCGGACACTGGGCAAAATGCCAGTAGAAAAGGTCATCAGACTGTAAAGATTATCAGCAGTGTTGAAATACAGTGCTGAAAATGGTGATGGAGCTGATGCAAAGACTAGGATATTGTAAAGATATCCACGTTGCAATAGAACAGTAATAGCAGTAAACTAAAGTGCTGGAATTTTATATGTGAAGGATATTTGTGGAATTAGTGCCATGCATCTCTTGCTCCAAAAACATGTTTTAAAGAGAAAACTGGGAAACTTAAGAAGGACCATTTTGAGGGGTAGTTTGCCTTATGTAAGGAGACATCCATTAAATGTCCTTCATGTATCGTCACATCTTGGAGATTATGGGCTATGATCTAAGGAGAAATCAATAGCTTTTTATTCTACGTGATGATAGACACTGCACCAGACATATCTATTTTGGAGCCCACCAGCCGCCGAGTGGTAAAGTCGCTGAACACTGGTAGTTCAGTCTGAGGTTCGAATCCCGTGAATGGGCTGGCTGCATGGGCGTTTTCATGGTTTTCCCCATGTGTAACGTGTATAGGAGCCAGTCTCCCTTAGAAATTCCTCCACGAAGGCATCCCTCTCCTTAGGCAGATAGTCCCAGGTTGCTTTGCTGTGATCTTAATAAACCAACCATATCTATTTTGTAAACTGATATAACCCAACGTTAAACAAGCACCTTCTGTATGTGTCTGCATCTTTAGGTATATTAATTTCATTGGAGAATGCCAGTGTATAGAAAAATGAATCTGCGCATCAAATTCACATCCCATTTTGATGAGCATTCCATGAGTACATAGTCTGTATGACAATTATAATTGATTCATGCATTCTGTGACTGAATGTGATTATTTTGTTTAGATATTAAAAAAAAAAATTGAGTTTCACATCTTTGATGAAAACCTGTCAATATTTGGAGTGGAGGAAAATGAGTGCTGTTAGAGGCATGCAGTTAAGTATTAGACGATATTATTAGGCCCTTGATGCCTTTGCAGTAAATCTGTATTTGATATTAAAATAAATAATGTTTGATTGTTATGTTAACAGGTGTTCTTTTTTGATGTCATTAAGAAACAGGAATTTCCATTAAAATATCTCTTTATGTCTTCTCTTTTTGGGTAAATTTGTTTATGTTGATGAGTCGCTGATCCACGTTTCTCTACGTTACGTGTGCAGGTTTTTTCAATGTTTGCCTCAACAGTGTCCAGTGTATAGAAAAATGAATCTGCACATCAAATCCACATCCCATTTTGATGAGCATTCCATGAGCACATAGTCTATTACAATTAAAATAGATTCATGTGTCCTGTGACTGAATGTTATTATTTTGTTAAGATGTAAAAAACAAATTAAGCTGCACATCTGATCGCAGCACAAAACAGAAAATTAAATTCTAATGCAGTGTATTGCTTTTCGCAGTAACAAATTGCTATAAAGGGGGGGACATGCACAAGAAGCATGAACATTAAAGAATTAAAAGAAGATGAAAAGGTGCATAAGCAAAAAAATAAACAAAATAAAAAAATTTTTAAATCATTAAAAGACTTAAAAAACTTTAAATTGAAAATATCAAATATAATTCCTGTAGGATGTCTGTCATATATAGCAGATTTTTTTCAATTACACATCTAGGAGTCTATTAAAAAAATTCTCACATTTACCACTCAGTACTAAATACTTGTATAAAACTGGATAGTTCCTCTGGAATTGTCTCTAAATTATGTACTACCCATCATTATTTAAACAAGCAGTTAATTTTTTATATTTCAGTACCTAGATCTTTTATCAAACTCATTGAACTGTCGTTTTTTAGGGGAAAGGATGGTAAAAAGCAATTGCTTTATCTTTGTTAATAGTTTTTACTGAATCTTCTCATGTGAGTTGTAAACAGTGAGTTATATAATGCGTTTCACATAATTTTAAAGGCAGAACATTTTAGATATTATCACTAAAAATTCTTGCTGTGCACCAACCATGCCTCATTAAGTTAACTGCTTAATTTTAAAAAAATTGGAGTTCCAAGCAGCTATATAGGTACACTGGCTACAGGAATATGATATGGAAATTCAAAATCACAAAGGAACTCGTGGAAATGCTAATGTACTTTCAAGAAGACCTTATGCAGAAAAGTGCAATCAGTGCTTGAAAACTGAAGAAATATTTGGCTTTGAAGTCCCCCCGTGGTCAAAGACAAAAGAGACTGCATAACATGAGAAACCATATCCCTGGTACAAATAATGTTGCATAAGTAAGAAACCATTCTAAAATTTAAAAAAAAAGGAAAGTTTTAAAAAGTTTTTTTGAATGAAAAGCCCCTGCTGCTAAAGAATGACGCATTTTAGTTTGACAGCAAAAGGTAATGGGCTTGATATGATTCATTTCACCTGCAAGATATTCTCTACTACAAATAAGAAGCTAGTGAAAGAAAGAGTTTCAGGAAGCAACTAATCTTCTTGAGATATCTTGTCTGTAATATTTGCCTTTGTACAACTAAGGATAACAAGTTGTCATGGATTACTTCTGTAAGTGGCCTGAAGTGTATGCCATCCCTGATCAGGAAGCTTACACTCTTCCAGGAGAAAATGATTTTGATTTCCTGGTTTGGAGTGTCTTTTGTTATTCACTCTGATCAACAAACAAATTTTGTACATGCCATATGTAAGGCACTATGTAGAATTATTGGTATGGAAAAGACTCAAACCACTCCATTAAATCCATGATTGGATGGCATGGTGGAAATATTTAATTGAACACCTATGAGACCTTCTCTATGCATATCATGGAGCAATGCTGGGATAAAAAACTGTTTTTATTCCTGTTAGCATATAGAAGTGCAGCTCGTGAGATTTTCTACATTGCAAATGGCTTTTGGCCATGATCTTTCCTTCTGTTACCTGCTCTTCAGACATGGCTTCTCACCTAAGTAGTATGTGAAAGATTAGCAGGCACATTAACAATCCTCAGTTTGTGAGAAGGATCAAAACAGGGGTGATGGAGATATAAAGGCAGGGAATTAAAGGGACGTCTGATTGTGGAACTCTAGTTGTCTAGTCATAATGATATAATCTTAGTAAAATTCAATCTGCTCTGTTGTGATGTTTTTCAATAATAGTATCAGAAGCATTTTTTCTGACAAATATTTCTTACCATTTTTGAAAATATTCAGGCTTTATATATAAACTTCAAGAAACTAAATTGCTAAAGTTTGAATTTATGAACAGGCGATAAAAGTATTTTGTATAGTAAAGCACAAAGAAAAGAAATGAGTAATATTTAAATACTAATTGATTTGAGGCTTTCTGAAAATTTATTTAGATTAAATTCATGTTTTTCTTTTATCTCAAAATTATGCATGTGCTTTAAAAGAAAGAAAAAAGGCCATTCCTATTATAGAAAGTATTGAAATTTCTTAAGATACTGATATCTAATTCATAATTCTGTTTCTTAATAGATTGAAATGTTTATATGATTCTTAATTTTCCTAAATTAAAATAATCTGCTTTGCAAGCAATCTAATAACATTCTTTATGTTATAGACTGGAGCTAATGTAAGTGCTGTATACAATCCATTTGCTTCTTTTGGTGCTTCTTCTGTAAGACAAGATTCCAGAACTCATCCTAATGTCTGGATTGGTGGTAGGGATGAATCTTTAATTGTGGCCCATGGCTTAGGACAGGTTAGGAAATTTTTAACTCCAAAATAATCACTTTTTGCATGTGCTTAAACATTGCATGACTTTATGCTAAATTCTTTTCTAATATGATGCATGCTAAGGAAGAATAAGCATTCTCTTTCCCCCCTCTTTTTTTCAGGCTTAGAGTAAGTGTAATGTACACAAGCATTTGTAAAGTGCCCATGTGTAACTGCATACATAGGTCATGTTGCATCTTTCACTCTTTTCAAGCTGCATGCTGTCAGCTATTTTATTGTTTTGGCAGTCAGCCTTGTCTTACCCTTCCCACCATTCTTAAGCAAATGAAATAACTGCCTACTTTTTTTGCAGACTGTATTGCTCAATCTAATGCATACTCCAGTCGAGTTTCTTCTGTACCTTCACTATAATATTTTACAGCTAGCAATTTAATAACATATTGGCTGTAGCTGTTTTGTGAAATATTTTGTGTGTTTATTCTGTAGCTTTTAATTTTATTTTTCAGTCAAGTGTTAATAGCTAAAATATCAGTTTATGGTCATACAACTTTAAAATAGATGAGGAATTTTATTTTATTCATTTTAAGAAATATTGTCATATAATCATGGCTTCTGAAAGTAACTAAGTTCCAACACCATGATAAGAATTTCAGTATAAATTTTCTTGTAATTCTGAAGTTAGACAAATGAACATTTGAAAGCCAAAATTCATTATGAAGCAAGCAAAAAATAAATAAATAAATAAAGAGCGAGAGAGAAAGAAAAAGTATTTTACTAATGTTGTGGTTATTATGTGGAATTAAAAACATCTCAAATATTTTCTAAGCTCCAAATAGCTCATTTTGTATGAGCATCTGCTTTTAGCAAATCTAACAGAGGATGAATTAGTAAAAGAAAAAGCAGACAGAATGTTAGTTGTTCATATTTGGATGACTATAGAAATAAAAAAAAGGGGGGGAAGGGAAAAAAAAATAGCAGTTACAGGAAGAATCTAAATTTTAATTATTGGTGAGAAATCTGAATGTAAAAGGGTTGAATTCTTTTTTTATATAGCTTTTGAATTGCATGAAGCAATACTGTTTATCTAATATTGTAAAGAAAGGTTTTGTCATTTTCATTATGAAGATTTTTGAAATATTCTCTCCTTGAAATGGCAACAAAAATTAAAAACTCTATTCCACAAAAAGGGGTGGGCTGTATGAGTGGTCACCTGGAGAATTTGGCAACTAGACTTACATTATCAGGTACCAAAAGTAGCAAAAAACTTTTTTCCCTGCGACATGACTATTAGCCCCTCCTTGGTTGGATTTTTCCCCCAAATTTCTGATCCAAAAAAAGCATTGTTTTTATTGCTGAAAATTAATACATATTTTATCCTAAATTCGAAAATGCAAAATATTTTTGACGGTAACCAATTGCTGATGAACCTACTGGTGGTCAACTATGCAATATCACATCCACTGATTACCAGTTTTCCTTGCATTGCACCCAAGTTTAAAACTTTTAAAAAAATACAATGTGATACTATATTTATTCATGCTATTGTTTTTATCTGTTTAATGTAAATATTTGCATAAAATAATTATTAAAATTACGTAAAAAATGCTTTAGAAAATGGTTTTCCAACCTTGGCGTTAAAACAGATTTACAACCTGGACATCCTACCTTGGACATTAGAGCATTAAAAACACATTTATCACAAAACCAATACCATTTATTTAATTAAAAAAAAATTTTTTTGCTTACTTTATCAAAAAAAAATTGGCTATGAATATCTAAAAGTATCTTGAATGGTTTTTTTAGTTAAAATTCTAATAGATATCACACAGATATTCAATAACATATATTCAAGGTGGGAAATCTCACTGCAAAAATTGTGAAGAAACTAGAACTAGTCGCGATGTCTCTTAGCCAATATTCAGAAGTACTGAAATAATCGCAGAATGTAAAACGGCGTATAAGTAGCAATTAATTCAATTTCAACGATGGAATTTTTCACTTCATTGCATGGCATGCACCACTGACCTTAGGGGCAGAAAAACCATGGTCTTCTAGAAGCAAGGCTGTCCAGCTCTCTTGTGATGTCATTACTAAGAACGCGAAGAAACCTCTGTCCTGCATTCGAACGAGTGAACCCACAGCACACTAAATTAGTAGTAGAAGTAATTTTATATTATTCTGATGTAAATGATGCTATCTTAATATTTATTATATATCATGCTTTAAGACTTCACATATCTGAAGTTATTTTCTTAATGCTTGAAAAAAATGTTCATCTGGATGATCAGTAATATTTTTTTAATCTCATTTTATTTTCCATAGTTTGGGTAAACTTTCTAGCACGAAAATGTTAAGCTTTCAAACTGCAAACAAAATATTGCATATTATTTTTCATTCATATGTAAACTTGATTGGTTTGGTTTATTAGATTACGGCAAAGCACTCGAAGGCTATCTGCCTTAAGGGATGGATGCCTTCGTGAAGGACTTTTTAAGGAACTGCTCGGGTTACACGGAAAACCGCAACACCCATGCAGCCGGCCTTCGCGGGATTCACCTCGACCGAACTACCAGTATTCAGCGACGTTACCGCCGGCGCTGGTGGGCATATAACATGAAAAATATGATAAAAAGAGCATCCTACAAGAACAACTTTTTCTAGACTTTTTTAAATAATATATAATTCTCTTCAGTGTAGCAATTAAATAGAATAGCATTTCATATACATTTATTTTTAAACAAATTAGTGAAAAGATATGTATAATAAACTAAAATAAAAAAGTTTTTTCATAATTATTTATCAGTAAATACTTAAAATTACTTTTAATATTTTAAGTCAGCAGTATAAATGAAAATAATGTGTTAGTAATAACTTGTTATCATTAATAATATTAAACTGCAGTGATCATATTCTTATGGAATAAAAACCAAAAATGTTTTTAAACTTCACAGAAAATTTTTACTCTAGTTTGCTGCCGCTTTAATAAAATATTGAATTGATTCTTACCTTAGCGGACTCTTTTAGCCCTGGTAGCATTGGAATATAATAGAAAACTAGATCAAAAGCTGTTGCTGTAAACTATATGTGAATTTTAATCTTTAAAGTTCAAGGTCAGTTCTTTTTGTCTTATTCTAAATTGATTAAAGCAGAAAAATAATAATCTCTGAAAATAATAGACATAACTTTTTGAAAGCAACACACTGCGATTTGCTTTAATTTTAAAATTGCAAGGAGTTAGCTGAGTTCCCACATCGTTACTGAGTGCCTATATATCATAATAGAGAAGTGCATGATAGTATAGGATACGAACATCCCTTGCAGAAGCACTTCATTCTTCCAGTATATTTAATACTTTTAATTGTTATCTACTGCATCCATTTGACACAAACTCTATAGCTGTTTAAAAAATTAGCATTTGCTAAGTATGAAGTTTAATTATAAAACAGGTAATAGCAACTTTTTAAAAAAAAGTTTTCATGGCCCATGGAGTGTAACAATATTTTCAAGTTTGTTTTATATTTTTTTAATATAATTAATTACGTTTTAAAAAAAAATTGAAAGTGGACTAAATGTTTTAAAAAAAGGGGGAATGTGAAACACACAAATTTATTTTTAAATTAGAAACATTATTTTTAGATCTTTAAAACTATTAATAGTGCATTATAAAAAAATAAATAAATTAGATATTGCAAATCAATTAATGCTAGATGATTAAGAATATAATCCGTTGACAACATTCGCAATAAGTTTTTTTAATATCTAGAAATTAGAAATGAAAAGCGCCCACTGCTGTTTTTATCAGATGAAGTCCTTTCGTTTTATTGCATGTATCACTTTTCTTCAGATCTGCATCTTGAAAATGTGGCATATACTTTAGGTCTAGATTTTAATTTTCACTTACACATGTAAGACATTGTACTGTTTCTAGAACAACCCACAAATTGCCAACAAACTCAAATTTAATGTGTCCAACTACAAAAAAAAAAAAAAAAAAAAAAAAATATTTTATATTCCAAGATTTTAGGTCAATAATTGCAGTTGAACCACTTCTCTTGCAGCAACGGTGACTAATAATATCCTTTGACCCAATGCTGCCCTCACCCCTGAAGAAGGGATGCACTCCTTGTTTTGATATCAAATGCTCTACGTCACTAAGCTGTAAGGCCTTGTTCTTGAAGGCCACACAAAAACGCCAAACGTGCATTCTAGATGCGATGTCAACCTAGAAGGTGTTAAAGTCGGCCAGCAATGCTTTCTGCCTGAGGTGCCATTCAGTTCTGTATGAATTGCATGAGAATTTTGGTAATGCAGCACTGATTATTTAGCATTAGAAGAGTTTGTTGAGTTTAACAGCTTTCTTGTTGAAATGAAACTGTGATGCATTGTAGAAAAAATGTATTTGAGAAATTTTAAATTTATTGCCTCAAGTGATGAATTTTCTCATTAATGAATCTTACCTATTATCCAGAGAAAATAATTTTTTATGTGAGTACTGGCTTTTTTATTGATTTATTGGCAAAATAAAGTTTCTTCTAATGCAAGACAATTTACGTGAATTTGGAAATAATATTGAATATTTTATTGACAGAAAGGTCGTTACTGCTTTTTTTGCAGACCATTTCGAGACAGTCCAGGATCGTTTAGTTCTAGATGTCAGAAATTCTTTGAATTAGATTTATTTGCAGTATTTTATTTACATGCTGAAATCGCAACTTATTTTCAAATGATTTATAAAAAGGGTTTCAAAATTCTTATATCATTATATCAAAATAATGAAATTTATTCATTTCAGTACATAAAGCTATCTATCATAAACATGTGCTTTTGCTGTATTTAATTCAGTATAGTCATACAGATCTCATTTTTCTGAGATTAAGCTCTTATGTCTGCCTCCTTCTTTATAATCTGTGATTCTGTTTACAAAAAGTCTTATCAAATGGGGGGGAGAGAATGAACACTGTTCAGAGAGTAGCAATTTGTGGAAATGTCCTTATACTGTGAGAATAGGGGTAGTTTCTGTGACTGTTAGCCTCAATCATTTAACAGATCAAA